TTCTAATTCGTTTAGTGCTGTGAGGGGGAGATTACTTCACGACAAACACGCTAGCGTTTATTGCATTTATCATAGCGAAATTTAGTTTTGTGAATTCCTAAACAACGATACATAACACTACAGGCGGTCGCTTTTCCCTTGTTTAGCACGAATGCATATCTAATTCATTTTTTAAGCATTTCTCCATTTTTTGTTTGTATTAATGTGCTATAATATGTACAATTCTTTTCATGAATCATTAATTTTTTTTAAGTTTACAGTATGCAAACAATAATTGTCTGTCGTTATTTCGCTGCTCATTCTTGAGAAGATCTTTAATTCATTTAAGTTTTTATACCAGAGGATTTTATCACAGTCATTTCCCTTTTAATAAAATTTACCGCAGGTTCCATGGGGTGGAAATTAGTGTATGCACAGGTAAATAGCTATACAGTGCATTTCCCGGTTCTAACACATGTACTTGCTTTTTCAGGAGGGTCTCTTCCGTCCATGATGGATGTTCTCTTTCATGCATCATGACACTCACAAATATACATTTGTTTCATAAAATAAATTTGCAAGTTTAATATACCAAAATTACTTAGAATATGTATTAATGTAGTATCTCTGTTTTGCAGGTGAGTTACGCCATCCCACTTCGAAAGTATATGGTATCGATCCAGTACAATTACCACTGTCAATCAATGGCAAGGTCACAATATCTGTAGTAAACAAACTAAATTGTATATTGCGGGCCACATTGGTAAGTAAATATACAACTATATAATTTTGGTTTATTAATTTTATTATTTTATAATTTATTCCATTATGACTAAGATTTTATTTTAACATTCAGTTCTTACGAAACCTGCATTTACACTGTTTCATTTGACATATTATGTGCACTCTTGCAAAATGTACTAACAAGTGTGACAATACCTACCCGAAAAGAACGAAAATAAGATCGTGAATATGAAAACTGTACCTCCGCCGTCACCAGCAGACATAAACTTTTATGATTAGATTACGAATTTCTCCCCTGGGCCGGGCACAAAGCAATACATCAACAGTATTGACGGCAACGACGCGCTCAGTTCCACACATCCCTCGTTCCATTTGATTCGTCCATTTCCAAAATCGAACGGCGCAAGAGCCACGCGGACGAGAAAGCCGGAGGGAGAGGAGAGAGGGTGACAGAGGGAATACTGGCTGCGTCAGGAGGAGCGGTGAAGAGGAATGGGACAGGACGAAGGCGGGGGAGGCGGTGACACGACACGGCACGGCGGGGACGGGACATGGCGGGGGCAGTGCATGGAGTGGACGGGGTATGGAGGAGAGGGGGTTGTGGAACGGACGGGTCCGTTTTCTGGAAGGAACGCGATATGATGGGATCGGATTAAGAAGGGGTTGGGGTATGGAGAAGACACGGTATGGAGAATAGGGGTTTTTGTAGGTGATGTGAAATGGGGAGGACGAGGTCTGAAGGGGACGTGGAATGGCGGGAACGTGGTATGGAGGGAAAGAGGTATAGATGTGTCGTGATATGGAAGGCACGTGGCATGGAGGAGAAGGGACGGAGGAGATGGGGCGGAGAAAAAAGCAGAGGGAAGGGATATGGAGGAAGGGCAGAGAGAACGGGAGAAAATGGGAATGGGTTGGACAAGATGTGGCGTGGACGAGAGATGGAGCGGACCGGTCATGAATGGGTTATGGTCCGGTGGAGAGCTATAGAGGGGAGAGTGTATGGAAGGGGGCAGGAAATGAAGGGTTTTTAGTATGAATGGGAAAATGTTTGGAGAGGATGGGGGATTAATGGGCACTTGAGACTATTGAGGGATCGGGGCAGGCAGAGGAGAGGACTTGAACATGTCGGGTCTTTAAGGGATGTGATGGGGACGACAGAGCATGACGATGACGGACGCGGCGGGGACGGTGCGTAGAAAGACGGCAAGTGGCGGAAAAACGCAACAGGGAACGGTGAATTGCGTGCATGGAGCATGGCCCAGAAGGAGAGTGGTCACAACGAAAGGGACAGGGACGGGCGAGAGTGGATCGTGCGAGGGACAGAACGGAAGCAGCTGTCCAGATTATGCCAATCTTTTGTCCTGTTGTGAGAACTTTCACGAGCAGAGCGTGGC